CAGTAGTAGCTCTGGTGACCTGACAGATCAAGATAAGCACTTGGTTTTCAACACGGGATTAGTCTTCAGTTACCAAGCAACTATTTTCAACTAAATAAGAACTGTTTTCAACTAGACAAGTGTTTTGAGAGGTTCAGGGGATTCGATCGGAGATGTAAAGAAACTTTCCACTCCAAACAAATGGACTGAAGGTATATTTTATTATATAGAGGATAGTAAAGGTGATAGTCCGCAAACAGATCTGAATAGGTCAAATATTAAGAGGGAAAAACATCAGCTCGACTGGAAAGGGAAAACATCCACATCGACTGAAGGGAAATGACACAAATCAACCGGAAAGAGAAACACCAGGTTGACCGAAAAGAGAACACCTCAGATCGGTTACTCACAACATCCATGCCCCACTGCTGGGGAGAGTCCCTTCAATTGACACAGCTGGGCGGGAATCCGATCATCAGAGGTCCTGGGCAGGGCATCCGCTCCACAGGTGAGACTTTCACCAGGCCTCGGTTTCCAGCAGTTTATATAAGCAGGTACAGAGTTTACAGAGCAAGCATTCAGTGTTCCCATGCACAAATGGTTGTCAGTGGCGTACGTGCACTGAGCCTCCTGGCCATCATCCTGACCCGGCAGTTGTGTACGTACATTGTTTTCCCTGGTTATCGTCCCAGCCCGGCACAGATGGCCAGTCTGCCCCAGGCCGTGACACCCAAAGGACCTTGAAACTCTTACAAATTGCAACTATCTCCATGGGAGAAGGGCCAGTTTCCACCACACAGAAAGCCGCTCTATATTTCTTTGTATGCTGGTGGCTGTCGGTTAATGGAACAGCCAAACATGGCTGTACTCATGTCAAGACAACAAGAACTACCCTTCTGGAAGATTCTACTTTCTGCACTGGGATGTAAAGTTATCTACAGCTGCATGTAGACTTAGGTGGACACTTGTGCTGCCTGGAGCAGCATTCTCAGCAATGTCAGCAGGAATGGAAAGATTGGCGCATCCACTCTGACCTGGGGCTGACTTGCTGGCAGTGGACAAGGGCCTCCAGTGAGGGTGGGTTGGCTTTGTCCTGTCAGTCCTTCTTTCCCCCCAAGGCAAAGCCTGAGACCCCCTGACCTTTCCTCCAGCCTCAGGCTGCCCCCTTTGACCTATCACGTTTGTAGTGCTACCCTTGAAGTTGATCTTGACCAGATTCCTTCTCCTGGAAGGATGCACACGCACAAGGAGGGACCAGCACACAGTGGGTCTCACCTGGGTCCACTCTCCCCTGGGATTGCTGGAGAGGATGGCCCTGATCCACCACCCGACCCCCTATCCAGGGACACCAGGACAGGCACTTGGAGCAGACTGTGGTCGCCTTCTTTCCTTCTACTTTACAACCAAACTTCTGAGCCAGAGTGTCCTACTCTAGTCACACCGTCGCTCCTTCCACCTCGGAGACCTGAGACCTGTTTATACAAAGACCGCCTTCAGTTCTGAGTCTCTGAACTCTGTCCTATCCAGAGGGCAGGGATCCCAAAAGAAAGTGTCCTTGGGCACCAAGCTGGCCACCTCACAGCCACTGTCATGGAACTGGGTACTTAGAACCAGGCAACAGTTTTGAGTAATAGCTTCCAGTGGGATCCCAGTTACAAAGCAGCCAGTGGGGAGGCAGGTCCCAAATACAAGAGAAAGGAGCCAGAATGCGAAGCCAGCAGGACTGTGAACCGTGAGGAACCTGCACAGGGGAGGCAGGAAGACACTGGGGGGATTCCCTCAGCCCTCGAGCACAGGGCATGGGCTGCCTTTTTGCTTTTTCTGTGGCCCCTGGGGCTGCCCCAGGGCCCTGAGGATATCGTCCAAAGGGAGCTGTCTGATCTCCTGTCTGGCTTTGTACCTGGAAAAATCTTCCAAAGAAGGTAATTGCCTTGGTACTTGTCCAAAGTTCAGAACTTTTAATCAATTCTTTTGGTGAACTGCTATAGCGCAGACACAGACATAGAAAGTTTTGTCTTAGCTAGAAAACTCTACTGACTATAGAATAAGACTTCTGGGAACCAGAGGTCAAATAGGTTGTCTGTCTCCTCCACTGAGTACCGTGAGAGGCCAGAAGAGAGAAGAGGGGCTTATGAACCCCTTTCTCTATTTTGGGAAAGGCATGTCCTTACTTGTTGGTTTATCAATGATAATGGAATGCAAAGTTGGAATGACGTCCAGGACGATGATTTTCAAATTCTCTGCAAATCCTTAGGGTTCATGGAAGTTCCCAAGGTGTCATCATGTAGGTAAGCAAAGGGCCAAATTCACCAGAGCACCTGCCCCCACCTCCCAACTTCAACCAGAGAAGCTCTGCTTTAATCTGGTCATATTTGGGGTATGTCAAAATGATTTCATGGCTAGAGAAATGTTTGTTTGGAAGCCTGTGAGCTACTCCAATGCCTTATTTCAAAAGGAAAACAAAAAAATGAGGTGCAGAGACTGAATGACATGTCCACAGAAAATGAATGGCTGAATCAAGACAAGAGCCTGGGTCTCCTGACTCCTGGTTCACTCAAGAGTCATTCAGCAAATAGTTAGCACTGCTAGTGCTTGGTAAGGTGGGAGTACCAGAATGAGGGAGACATGGTTGCTGAACCCCAAGGAGCTCAGGATCTACTGGAGGTTAAGACTTTGGTTCCCTGAGTACACCTTAGCATCCATAGTCTACTGATGCTCAAAAAGTGGAAATGCAGCACGGTAATGTAGCTTTCCGTATTGATACAGTCAGCATCTGTAGATCTGGGCAAATGTTTTCTTTCACTCTTGTTCTGGAAAGTTAGTATTGCTGGTACACTTGTGGGTTGACAGTTATTTTCTCTGAGCACTTTGCCTTCCATGGTGCTATTGAGAAGTCATCTGTCAGTCTAATGGTCATCGCTGTGTAGGTGCCTTTTCTCTCTGGCTGCTAAGATCTTCTCTTTGCTTTTGGTATTTTATCATTTAATACAATGTATCCAGGTGTGTGTTTATTTTATTTATCTGCTTGGAATATATCCTACTTCCTGAAATGATTAATTTATTGATTTTATCAATTATAGAAAATTCTTAGTCATTACTTCTTAGTAATTTCTTCAGTTCCATTTTTTAGTTTATTAATTCTCTCTTTGTCTGTGATGAATCTATTAGTTAATTCCCCTATGTTGAGTGTTTTATTTCAGTAATTCCATTTCACTTCTAAAAGCTCCATTTGTTCTTTTTCAAATCTGCAAGATCATTCCTGATAGTATCTCTGTCTGGTCAATTAGTTTTTAAAAAACATTTCTTCCATTGTTATTTTCTGTTTTGTATCTGGAAATTTCAAACTCTCAAGTCCTTAAAGGTCTAAATCTGTTTGTTTTTTCTGACTTCCGTATATGTTTTCTGGTCTTTGATTAGGAGCTCCTGTTTGCTTCTTCTTAATCTGTGCTAATCCTGAGGGCCTACTTTAGAGATACTTTCCTCCAAAGAGGACTTACAGTCGCTTCTGCCTGAGCACTGCCAACCTCCCTGCCTGGAAGGAGCACTGTCAGCCCTTCCAGGTTGGCTATGAGCGTCTTGGGTTCACCTGCCTCCTCTCGCCCTGTCCCAGGCTCAATCTCTTGACTGATTGCCAATATCGCATTTGTCTTCCAGGCAACCCCACCTTCCCTATTTGCTTGCTACTCACTAGTTCCACCTCTGGTTTCAACTCATGGTTTTATTTAGTTTGCTGAGGTGGGGGTAGGGGGAGTGGTAGGTGGAGTCTTTGAGATTTCCCTTACATCTTGCAATTCCCATAGTGCATTAAAAGGTATGCTTTATCCAGGATCTAGTTGTTATTTAGTGGGCTGGCCCTTGCAAGTATGTGGTCTGCCATGATGCTGGAGGAGAAGACTCATTCAGTTTACAGGATCCTATTTATGGATTCCCTCTGCTGCTGCTCTTTGTCCTGCTGCCTTCAGGTCTCAAGTCCTGTCATCTTGTTCCTCGAGAGAGCTGGCAGGCCATGATACCAAAAGAAAAAGATGAATGAGAAGCACACGTTCAACTTTGTCTTCCCAGAGAGTATTTCTAGATTTCCTCTCTCTAAAGAAGGCTGTGGCCTGGCTCTCTGATCCTGTCTATCTCTGACTATTGTCCTTTTGTCCCCTCAGGTGTTGATTAAAGTCTTCACTTTAGTGACAGTTCCAATCCTTTATCTTTGAATAGAGCTGTATCGATTGCAGAATACTTACACATACACTGACTTCCCAGGTCTTCTCAGCACCCCTCTGAGCAAGGCATCCTTGTCTCATTCCAGAAGAGGACACGGAAGCCCAGAGAGGTCACATGACTTGCTTAGGGACTGAAAGTCTGTTCATCAGCAAACCAGGCCCTCTGCCCATACCTCCTGACTCCAGACCCATTGCTTTCCCCCACTAAACCTGCTTTCCATGAAACACAACCAATGATTCATTCATTCACCTCATATGTATTGATCATCTGTGATAAACCAAGTGCTGCTCCAGGCCTGAGGAGGACGTAGCTGACAACCAAGCCCCTGCCCTCATTACAGTCTACAGGTGGCAGATAATAAATAAACAAGCAATGACACAATATAATTCCAGAGTGACAATTGCTATGACAAAAAATAAAGCAGAATATGGAGATACATTAAATGGGTCTCTGGGAAGAATGGGCTGGATGAATGAAATGAAGGAAGGAGCCCTGGGAACACCTGGGAGAAAAGCGTCCCGGGGAGAAGGAGCCACATGTCTGAAGGCTGGAGGGGGGCGAGAGCTTGGCGGATCTAAGAACAATTGAACGACTGTGGCTGCAGTGCCTGAGCTGAGGGGAGACGGGTGAGAGGTAAGATAGCAGGCGGGACTGGGAACATGTTAAGAAAGACTGAAGGGCAAAGTCTGAGGAAGGAAGGAAAGTCTGACCCTGTAAGTTTGCTTCCTTTTAAGTTAGAAGAACCTGTGTGTTGACTGACTCTGGGTTTTAACCAGTCTCCCTCTATTTGCTTGTCTCTTTCACAGGCCTACAGGTTTTCCCAGCTTCCTGAAATGGTCATGGGCTCTCCCCCTCCGCCTGTACCCCCCCGGACTGGCCCTGTGGCCGTCGCTTCTCTCAGGCGGTAACACATGCCTTTCTTTGCCTTGTTTGGAATATTTGTCGTACCCGGAGACAGGCTTCCTTCATGCCCGCCCACTCAGGGTACATCACCTGGACAGACAACCAGGTGCCTGGGGTCCTGTGAGTACTGTGAAGAAGTGGGGGCCACAGAGGGTTGACCAACTTTCTTGTCATTTTAAATAGAAAGTCCTGTAGAACGCACAATTGAAGCCCAAGGTCAACTTCCCCTTATTGTGAAAGCCCCATACCCTGACCTTGAACATCTAAAAACTACTCCAGCTCTGGCCACCACAATGACTACCTCAAGTCTGGGTGCTTCCTGCCGTGTGGGTGCACTCAGAAGTCCCTTTGCTATTTAGGGGTGGGGTCCAAGAGGCCAGGCAGCAGCGTGTCTAGGCACCCACCCCAACTCTTGGCTTCCAAGATGGGGTGGCTGAAAGCCCATGAATCAGATATGTCAAGTGTGGGCGTATGGGCAGCATTCTCTTTGCTCTGTAATGATATTGAAAGCACAGGTTTTTAATAAAGATAGACAAGAAACACAAGCGTGAGCAGTGGGACAGGCTGGAAGAGTCATCATGTCCCCGGCTGGGAGAAACAGCTATGCCCGCTGCCCCGGCCCTCCTACCCCAGCCTCCCCACAACATGCTGGTCACACCCTATCTGTGGACCAGAGGCCTGGACTTTGTGAAAATGGTGAAGAAAATGAGTTTCCCTCAGGAACGGCCCTGCCTTCATTTCCAGTGGTTTAGAATGCCGAGCTGTGTGTAGACACCACCCCTTGACCCCAGGCGAGCTCAGGGTGGGTGGGAAGCAGCAGACCAGGGTTCCACCTAACCTGCCAGTAACCTGCTGTGTAACTCCAGGCAAGCTGCCTCCCCTGTCTGGGCCCTGTTTCCTTATCTGTAAAATGAGGGCAGTGGCCTAAATGGTCTCAAAGGCTCTGGGATTCCTTAAAAGGGGTGGAGTGTATGGGGCAGAACCCAGGAATTTTCCTGGGAAGAGTTTTCCAAACGAGTAGCAGATGCCTGGAACAGCATGCAGGAAGCCAGTGCTGTGGGAGTGAGCAGGCAGGAGAAGGAGGGAGGGATGGGGAAAGGCAGGGAGACCCCACACTACTGATCGTCCGGCAGCCATCCTGAGTATAGTCAGATCATCACACCCTCTGTGTTTAACCCTCCCTGGGAAGTAGGAGGGGGCTTCTCCGTTCCTCCTGCTGGTTCTGGATGGGAGGCGCTTCACATCAGCCATTGCAGTAGGTTAGCCGAAGGCCAGCATCTATTTCATTTCTTCTCTCAACTGCCAGTCTCCTCCCATGTCCTTCTGCACGGTCTGCCATCTTTGCCAAATACAGGAGGTCACTGCCCTCCATATAAACCCAGAGCATTAGACCAGGGAGGAAGCTTTGAGATGGGGTCATCCACCCCTTTCGTTTTACAGACAAAGAAGGTGAGGCTCAGAGAGGCAAGGGGGCTAGAACCCCAACCTCTGCTCCCCACCCGGCCCCCTTGATGTGGCTCTGTGCTGCTCTTACTGTGACAGCCACTCTTCTGCTCAGAGGGTGGCCCTGTGGGCTGGCAGCCTGCCACCTGCTGTGGCTGCCTTAGCCTCCCTCCATTTGACTTTGAGGAGAGCCTGAGGTCCCTCTGTGAAAGGCAACAGAGACCCGCTAAACCACCCTTTATAATAGCGGGGAGGCGGGTGCCGGCCGAGCCCAGGCTGCCCTCTTCTTACGTGGCTTCTGAGCACTAAGTGGAAATATGATGTGTTAAATGGGCCGGATTCTCTGCTTGCCTTGAGACCAAAAAAAGAAAAACTGTGTTCTCTCATTCATAATGCCCAGAAAGCGCCGGGCCCCTGCTCTTGCTCCCTGCCAGTAGCAGCAGGGACCGTGGTCCCCAGCCCTCCCGGGTCAGCAGTCCTGGTGGCAGCAGGGGAGCGACCGGGCTCCAGAGGAAGCCTTCTCATTGGCTGCCCATGATGTCATCCCCTCCCAGGTCGACCACCCCCAGTTCCCACCAGCGCTAATTGCTTGGCTTATTTTTATGTGGAAATTAAGTGTTCTACTCCCCGGGGACACAAGAGCCGCCCTCAGGGGAGCACTGACCTTGAGTATCTAAAAGTGGCTCCAGCTCAGCCACCACGCCCGCCGCTGCAAGTCTGGGCGTGTGGCTGCTTTGTTATCTGGGGCGATGCGGGCTGAGGAACGCCCCCTCGCCGGCCCGGGGACCCGCCCCCTGATGCAGCGCTGTGCCCCCACAGGTCCACCTCGGACGTGGGCAGCAAGACCAGGACGGCCGAGGCCGCGGGACCCGAGCCCGCCCCGCTGCACGACAGTGCCGCCTTCGCGCACGTGTCCCGAGGCCCCGTGTCCGTGGCGCAGCTGGACCAGTCGGCGTTAAATTACTCAGGTGGGCCGGAGGGGCAGCCGGGCGGAGCCCGCGGGCATCGGCCCAGCCCTGCGCCCCAAACCCTCACTCTACCTCCTATCCCCACCCGGCAGTCAGAGCCGCTGCATTTCCCAGCTCCCTTGAGCTCAGGAGCCCTGGCTAGAAAACTACTGCTGTATTTCTTATAAGGATCTGAAATCGGACGAGCTATATTACAGTCGGCATATATGTTATCATTTTGCCAGACTTCAGGGTTTTTTTAAATTGTTACATATATCTTCAAAGCATTACAGATACAACCATCCACCCCATCTCCTTCCCCTTCTCCCCAGAGGTAATCACAGTCCTTAAGCAGTGGGTGTTAACCTCTTGTACATGTGTATGTGTATACAACAGTATATATTAATGCTTTATGTATTTTAAATTTACGTAAGTGATGTCAAGCTATACATTTCCTTCTGTACTTTGTTTTCTTGACTCAGTGTCTTCAAGACTTCTCCAGGTTGCTCCATACATAGATATCTAGCTCACGCCTTTAAACTGCCGCGTGGTTTTCTATTCTATGATAAGCCACCGTTTATCCTTTCCCCTAGTGGGGGGCATATTGGTAGTTTACAATTTTTTGCTATTACAAACAGTGCTGAAGTGAACATTGAGGTTTGTACATGCCCTAATTGGTTTTTTAGTTTATTCAAACCATACCTTTTAGTCTCATACTGCAGGCACTGAGCTGTCCACACTTACTAAAGCACTCTCTGTGTCCAGAAATTCCTCCAGTGGAATCCATTCCTTTTGGTTCCTTTTCTTGGCTCTTTCCCTGGGAGGGAAACACCTGGACCCTGGGGTGTCATTTCCTCCTGCCAGATGTCAGAGGTGTTGGGATGGGGACGAGGGAGTTGATGAGGGCTCAGTGAGCGGAGTTGAGGTGTCATTTCTCTAGAAAGCCAGGTCTGAGTCACAGCAGATGATGCCTCCGTACTGACTGGGCAGGTGAGCAGGGCCCTGGGCTGCAGGTGGAGGTCTGCTGTCTCCCATTTCCCCTCCCCCGATGCCAGCTTCTCCCTGCTTGTGCAGATGTCGGCCCGCGGGCGGGTGCTGGCCTAATCTGCCCTGTTCCCCTCCTCCACGCCAGGTAATACGGTGCCGGCTGTGTTCGCCATCCCAGCTGCCAACAGACCCGGCTTCACGGGCTACTTCATCCCGACGCCTCCCTCGTCCTACAGGAACCAGGCCTGGATGTCCTATGCAGGGGAGAGTGAGCTCCCGAGCCAGTGGGCCGATTCGGTGAGACCCTTGCTGATTTCTCACCACTTCACCTCTTGACGCGTTTCAGGGAGGAAGGGATGAGAGGCTGAGGCTGTGTTGTTATCTCAGCCCCTCCACCCACGAGGCCGCCAGGGGCAGCCATCTAGAGGAGACGGTGTGGTCAGGTGGGGTGTCCTTTGACAGAGGAACTGAGACCTGCCTTCTGGTCCAGGTTCCAGCTCTTCCTAGCACGGCGACCTTAGTCAAATAAATTTTTATAATAACAATGAGGCGTGTGCCAGGCTCCACGCTGGTGCTTGATTCATGTCATCTGACGTTGTCCTCAGACAGTCCCACTAGCTGGGTATTGTTCCCATGACGCTTCCGACCATGCAGACGAGGAAACCGAAGCCTCGTCAAGTGACAGGACTTGTCTGAAGCCACACAGCTTTAGTAAGGTGCTAAGGCCAGAATTCAAACCTGCATCTGGGGCTGGCCCTGTGGCTTAGCGGTTAAGTGCGTGCACTCCGCTGCTGGCGACCCGGGTTCAGATCCCGGGCGTGCACAGACGCACCGCTTGTCCGGCCATGCTGAGGCCGCGTCCCACATACAGCAACTAGAAGGATGTGCAGCTATGTCATAGAACTATCTACTGGGGCTTTGGGGGAAAAAAATAAATAAGTAAAACAAACCTGCATCTGGATGGCTCCAAAGCCTGTATGAAATTTGGGGGGTTTTTTAGGTTTAAAATTCTGCAAAAAGTTTAGATGAAATACCAGAAAATGAAGTGTTAGACCCCAAGACTGAACTCCCTTGCCTGTGGATCCTGAGGCTTTTTGTCTGACTTCCGGCCGAGGACTGTCTTGCATTCGTCCCTTGTTTCTCTCTTCATTACAAGTAGGAGCATAAGGTGCAGTGGACCTGGCCCAGCCTGGACCCAAGAGGGCAGCAACCAGGTGAACCTGGATGTTCACACCCAAACCTGCCTCTGAGTCACCTGTTAGGGGCTGCTAAGTGAAAAAAACCACGCCAACAAGATTATAGCCCAGTGAAGGCTCTGGAGTGGGCCGCCCTGCTCCCTGTGTGAGACCGTCCAGCATGGATAAGAAAGGCAGGCTGTCTCCCCAGGCCGAACCTGAGGGCCCCGGGGCTGGATGTCATTTTCGGGTTTGGTCTCAGTATTTGAAATATATCCTAGATTTAGGAAACACCCTGACACCCAAGGCCTGGGTTGTCTTTCTTTCTGTCCAAACCCCTGGGGTCCATACTTTCCATCCTACAGGCTCAACTGAGCTCAGCGTTGGTGTCTGCTCTTACTGCAGTGATGGCACATCTAAAGCTCACCATCGGGGTAAAGGTATCCTACATGTAGTAATTTTCTTGATGATCAAAGCTTACCCCTTTAATTTCCAAAATATTTAAAAATATATGCCATCTTGCATTAAAAAAATTCTGGAATCAACTATATCCTTCTCCTCTCCTTCTTTAAAAGAAGAACATAATTGTCTTTAACACGTGATTCGGCATCAACGTTGTTATTATTATGCCTCACTATACTAAAGTGACATTTGCGAGATGGGCTCTGATGGATTATCCTAATAATAGGATTATTGCCCCTACATCAAACATCTCCAAACTACTATAATATTTGGAGTTATTACAAGGCTCAGTATGTCTTCTCTTTCTCTGACCTTGTTCCCAGCTGGCACTTTATATTGCTGTCAGTGTCCCCACTTCCAGAGATATACTCACCCTTAAATATACTTTTCCTAACGTGCTATTATCTGCAAATGAGGCATGTCTGAGCCAGGTAGAATGGTTGGTAAAGTTGGAGTGAATAAGCTCCAAGAGAGTGATGGGGGAGGGGTTCCCTGCTGTGACATCACAGATCTTCATGTGGGATTTCATGACCTCTGTTTGGGTGGTTTGTGGCCATTTTTTCGTCCTCTCTCCTGCTCAGCTGACATCACTGGGTGTGAGCTGATCAATTCTGGGCTCATGTGATGCCTTAATTCCACTCACAGTCTAAACACAATGTGTGCTTTTCAGAAAGTAGATGATACTTAATTGAGCGAATTAGACAGTAAACCTGCAGCTGTGTGGGCTCATCCTCTGCATGCAGAGTCCCCTGCATGTTTGGAGGAGTCAGCCAGAGGTATTTTCCAAAACCTTGGCCCTTGCCCTCAAGACCCTTACAGATGAGAGCTTAGCCAGGCTTATGGCGACATCCCGATGCCATTGGGTTCATATTGCCTTAAAGATGAAGGAGAAGGAACCCAGCAAATCAAAAACTCACCTTCCCGACAGGATGACTCTATCATTCTGGGCCCTTCCTCCTCAGTGTGAGAGCTAGTTTCCGAGTGGTTGTTTTTAAGAAGAAGGTGATTGCTGCGGCCTGAATGGGTCTTTCCTGGAGCCCAGTTACCCCCTGTAGTCAAGCAGGGCAGTGTGCCCGTGCATGGAGCACAGCAGCCAGGAACTGAGCCAGGGAGGCCAGCTGGTTTATCACGTGTAAAAGACAATACAGGTCAGAGGGACCAGCGTCAGCTTGATAAAGATACCCCATCGGGCAGAGATTATGTGCACCCCCACATCTGTGTGAGGAGAAACGGCCCCGCCTCATTGGGATGTCTGACCTTCCTGAACCTGGGTATCCAGACGTAAGGAGCTGGCTTGGATAATCACCTGGGCCTGGGCTGACAGAGAGGTTTCATCCTTGCTGCTGGATGGAGGAGGGTTGGAGGGGCTTCCAGGCCCAGCAGGAAAGTGTGCTGGGATCCGTAGGTGACACCTGCCGCGGCACTGGCAGGGGAAGGAGTGGTGTTTGCCAGCCTGGATTTTGGCTGGCAAGGTGTGATGGCTCTAGCCTGAGGAAGAGCTTCTCATCTCCTCGCCTTCCTGAGGCTCTCCAGTGGAGTTGGCTGTCCCTTGCCTGTCCCGGCTGCCAGCACCAAGACGCTTGATGCTGCAGAGCTGAGGGTCTCAGGAGTGGACATGGACTCTTGGCTCTAGCTGAACTTGAAATGCAGGGAAAGGGGATGTGGCAGCTCCCTTCACAAACATATGGCACCAGCTGGTCAGCCTTCAGTGATTTCAAACTATGCTCCTCAGGACCCGGGATCTGAGAGGCTCCCTGCTGTGTACCATGCATGATTCTAGGCATGGGTGCTCGGCGTTAAGCAAGCGAGACACAGTTCTGCCCTCATGAACCTGTCGGCCTGAGACAGTGATGAGGTCACGCGTGATGACTGTTGCGCTAGAGAAGCTGCCTGGAGGCACCTTACAGGGAGCCCTCGACTGATGCAGGGCTGGGTGAGGGCTCCTGGCAGAAAGGAAGTTGAGCTGAGACCTGAGGCACAAGTTCTGTGTCCTGGCCTTGGCTCTGTTACCTTGTCACCTGTATATTCCCAGATCTCGGGGCCCAAGGACTCGCACAGTCCGACTGTGGTTTTCCTCTAAGATGCAGGTGAAATCTGCCAGCCCTTGTGTACAGAGACCCATTATTAGCACCTATTTGCCACTTGGTCTTTCTTTGCCAGGCAGACTTGGGACATCCATCCCCTTACTTCCTCTCTCACTTGGGTCCTCACTAGCTCTCACTTGGCCCCTTGAGGTAGCCTCAGAATTCGTCTCTTCCTGACCTCCAGTGGCTCCACCTCTAGAGTCTTCTTTCTAAAATACAGACCCTCCCTCTCTCTGCCTGACACCCATCGGTGGCTCCCAGGCCAGGCGTCAGGCATGCATCTCGGAAACCTGCCTTCTCAGGAGTGGTTGTTGGAACATCCCCGTGGGGAGAGGTGGGGGGCTGCTTGCCTACTACACATTCACCCATCTGAAATTTCTGAATCATCACCCAACCCCATCCCACTTCATCCTCACCAGGGCCCGGTTGCATCTCTGTAAAGAATGGAAACATGCTGTATTCCTCAGAAGTGTGCCATAGAAAACTTAACTCCATAGCCTGGCATTCAGCAGCTTTCTGATCCGGCCCTGCCTGTCTGTCTTTCTTGAGCTCCTGCTACACCCCACATACCCTCTCTGGTCACCCAACTCACCCAACCTCCCTGGGTGCACCATCTTCTATGTACCCCCATGACTTTGCATACGCTTTTCCTGCTGCCTGGAATGGCTCTCCCAGCTGGTCTCCCTGGCAACAGCCTATTCATCTTCCAGACTCAGCTAAGCTGCTTCTCCCTGAAAGCCGCCCAACTGCCCCTACGTGCCCTGTTCCCTGCAGCACCCTGGGGTGCTGAGTCGTCCACAGGCACTTATCCCGAGGGTTCGGCCAACATTCTGGGATAGAAGGGGCTTTGTGGGACCAGCCTGGTGGCGCAAGTGGTTAAGTGCGCGCACTCCGCTGCGGCGGCCCAGGGTTCGCCAGTTCGGATCCGGGGCGCGCACGGACGTACCGCTTGGCAAGCCATGCTGTGGCAGCATCCCATATAAAGTAGAGGAAGATGGGCATGGATATTAGCCCAGGGCCAGTCTTCCTCAGCAAAAAGAGGATTGGCAGATGTTAGCTCAGGGCCAATCTTCCTCACCAAAAAAATAAATAAATAAATAAATAAATAAATAAGCAAATAAATAAATAAAATTAAAAAATTAATCTACATTATTTAAAAAAAAAAAAGCCTTTGTGGACCAGCCTGGAGCAGCATCCCCAACAGTGGCACTGTTTCTGTGGGAAAGTCATCCCAAATTCTAAATCACTGACTCGTCCTTATTACTAGAAGTGTCCATATATTTAAACATAGAACTGTGTGTCTTCCACTTTTAACGAAAAGAGAAAAATTTTTCAAGAAACCAAGATCGTATTCCACATCTAAAACGTTACAGTGTGGTGACTAACTTGCGGCCCTTGGAGCCAGAGCTGGGCAAAGCATGTCTCTGTGGCTCTTAGCTGTGTCATCTGAAACTGGCACTCTTTGCTTCGGTTTCCTCTTCTGTGAAATAAGGATAACAATACCTACCTGCCAGCTTGTTGCTTTGAAAGTAAAATGCGACCCCGTGTGGGAAGCCCTCCGCACAGGGCTCATTCAATGTCAGCCATCATCATCAACAGGAAACCCCGGGTCCGCTGAGGGCCGTAGAGAACAACACTTCTGTGGCTGGGTTGTGCTGACATTAGAAAGGTAGCAGGTAGATTCAGATGTGGACTCAGGTGTGTTCCAACTGTTTGCAGCAAGGTTTGAAACACCCATTTAATTGCTCCAACTAGCATATTCAGGGAGTCCGAATTACCCACTTTCTAAACTAACTGTATCTGTACACTGGTGCGTGGTCTCTATTTTCTTCCGAATCTCTTTCCTTGTCCTCAGTCCCCTCCTGCTCCCAGTATCACACGTGTCCTGTGATTTGAGCCTCTTCCTAACCCCATTCTCTTCTGCCCAAACGTCCCTTGCAGGTCCCCCTCCCAGGGTACATCGAGGCCTACCCCCGGTCACGGTATCAGCAGAACTCACCATCCAGGCTCCCCCGCCAGTACAGCCAGCCGGCCAGCCTGCACCCCAGCTTGGAGCAGGCCCCAGTGCCCTCGGCAGCGGCCTCGCAGCAGAGCCTGGCAGAGAATGACCCGTCCGACGCGCCGCTCACCAACATCTCCACGGCAGCCCTCGTGAAGGCCATCCGGGAAGAGGTGGCAAAGCTGGCCAAGAAACAGACGGACATGTTTGAGTTCCAGGTCTGATGCTTTGCCCAAGGGGCTTCCACTGAGGAAGCCGTCTGCGGTTCTCAAGCCTAAGGTGTTGGGACTTGAGACACAGACGATGTGTGAGTCTTTCTCACCCTCAGTTTCTCAAAAGGTGAACAGTAGGGCTTCTGGGAAACAGGAAACTCTTGAACGACCTGCTTCTCGGCTTATTCAGCTGATTGTAGGTCAAGAAGTCCCTGCCTGGGAACATATGTTTGATATTCTGTTGTGTTAAATGTTTGAACTGTGGGCGTATTTCCCTGTGGAGCCTTAGTCACGAGAGACTGGCAAATCTGCAGATTCCTGTCCAATGCCACATTTTCATAAATCACCAGAAGGGGGAGGACAGAGCTCTGACTTTGGTGACCTCTGCATGTTAACTGTTTCTGTGTCAAAGGCAGTGCAGGCGGGCGATGCAGCCCCAGACTGGACTCTCTCTCCTTCAGCTCTGACCGCAATCGTTAAAATCACCTCTGGTCTGTAAGGGAGGCACTGACTCCAGCCAAGAAACTTGAGTCCTTTTCTTTTAAAGGTTCATATTCAAAGTCAGATGGATGAATTGGATGAAAATCAGCACTGTCAGTGCCTGCACTTATAAACAATCCTGACTCTTTTTTCCCTCATTAATTAAACAAAGGCCCAGAAAGAGAGAAGATGAGAAGGAATGGTGGACTCTTGTTGATAGGTTTTGGAAAGCTGTTGTTATTTTGGACATAGAGTACCCTCCATCCAGCTGAAAGAGAATCGGTGCTCAGTGCTTTTAGGATCCTCCAAAAGACAAACAGGTATTTTAGGATCCTCCAAAAGACAAACAGGTATTTTAGGATCCTCCAAAAGACAAACAGGTATTTCCTTTGCCCTGCAATGAGGGTGGCCTGAGAACGAAGCTTCTGTCTTTAGGGGATAATAGATACATCGACTTTTAAAGAAAATCTCTGTCTCTTCAACAATGATGTTCAGCTTGTGCTGCCAAGTGATACAGAAGGAAATAGTAATTGATGCCTGTTGCAAGCAGGCATGGTGGAGCCACAGTCTCCCCAGGCTGCAGCCTCTGTTTCTAGAAGCTTCTGAATGTAGAAAATCTGTTGATTTGTTTAAATGTAAATAACATTTTAAAATGTGTGTGGAGTTAGCCAGTCCCCCCCCCCCCGCCAGCCGCCCGTAGTTACTGGATGCAGAGGACGTTTGCTGAAATGACAGGGCTGCTGACCTTGTGACCGTGATGTTGCAGATCACGCTCCTGGGCGTGGTGGGCATGACGAGTGGGCCTCCTGAGCTCTGGGTGGACACGGCCTCCCAGCCCTGAGGCACCAGCCGCTAACTGTCAATGCAAAAGCAAAACAGCTACTGACTTCCCGTAGCCCTGGGGAGGGGACACTGGTTCCTCACCAGCTTTGGGAGCCGTGTACAATGTCGGGGCTTACGTGGTGTCTATTGGAGAGCAAGGTCCTGTGCTGCCTTCACCCGTGATCCCTCTGGCTTCAGCTGTATCCATACCCTCTGAGCCCATCTTTCCATTCTCCTCATGAGTTTCTTTGGTCTTTACTGAGAGAAGGTGGGAATTTAAAAACTGAGAGAAGAGTAGGAGTGGAACTGATTAGAATGGGAGATTCAAACTATCAAAGCACAGACTTTTCAAAGAAGCTGTTTTTATATCCCACTGGCAAGTTGCCCTTTCTGGAATGTTCCGGAGATGAAGTGTCATGGAATCCCGAAACTAGTCTCTTGTTTGGATGATATTGGTAGTGTCCTTTTGGTATGCTGGTTGATCTTGCATAGTGTTAGTTTTTTGTTACCTAAAAAATATCAGCTATAAATAAAATGTATTTTTGTAATTTCCATGTGTATATATGGTATATTTCTACCAATGGCCAGTTGTTATAGTCCAAAACCTAAATCAGCTTGCAAAACACTGTGGACAGTGCAAGATTTTATTGACAGATTAACACAATGCCTAAGTCTATCCAAATAGGTATTCAATGCACTTGAATGAACAAAGAGCCAAAGAAACTCAGCCTTTCCATGCGAATGAGTCTGATAAAGTCAGCTACATTGTCTCGCCTTATCAATAATATTAATCTTCATCAGTGCAATGATATCAACCCAGTACTTTGTCTACTTGGTAAATGCCTGGAAATACTTTATGTGAAAATGAAGTTTCAAGACCTTAGTGTAATTAAAATGTATGCACATGCTTCAAAGACAATGTCTGAGCATGGATCTTCCAGTGACTTACAGAGAGTGAGCTACAGTAGGCAGTGGTATGGCTCAGCTTGCTAAGAGGATGGAGAAACAAATCAGATCCTCCCTTAAACTAGACACCACAGGTTTAAGAATAGTATCTGGGAGGAGAACCTGAAGCTGAAAAGAAATCAATCTGTTTATGTTTTCCCACCAATGGGGAGATAGCTGCCATTGTTTCATTTTTCTGTGAATAAGACATGGTGCCCTTCTTTGAAGAGTCTCCTGACCTCATGGAGGTGTCAGATACCTGGACAGCTGGCTCTGAGAAAAGGCAGATGGTCCAAAGTGCCTCATGGAAGTGAAAATAGAGTTCCATGAGATCCCAGAGGTTCTGTGTTCCTCACGACCCTCCAGATAGCTGAAGAAGCCACAAAGGACCTTGGAGACCTCGGAGACCTCGGAGAAGGGAGCAAGAGTCCAGAGAATTGGAGTGACTTGCCCGAGGACGCCAGCCCAAGCCTGCTGATTCATGATCCAACTTGCTTTCCATGTCACCATGCTGCCTGCACGCTTGTCTGTGACACATTTCTTGAACTGTGCTAGGAAGTTTAAAAAGTAGACAAAGGTCATATGAGGGGTTCCCTACGTTCCTGTGAAGAAAAAAGGTGATTAAATATGTAAAGAACTTCAGACAAAGTGTATAGAGGACAATGCATTTGTGGCATAATAAACATTTTTCAGAACTAGTTTTGATGTGAGTTTTCTGCATTCGTGAAAAGAAATGCATTTTGGCCTTTTCTGGAGAGTGCCATCAAGGAAATGGTGTTCTCAACTGCTGTTCAAGACTGTAGGGGTGTATTCCTCTCTCAGTGCTATGGACCCAGGCAGGGAGGGAGGCCATGACAGCTTGTCATTGTGAGGTAGCAGATTCTTGCTCCCTGCGTTGGGGAGGGGTGGCAATCTGGTGATGCAGGAACGTAGTCTGAGATGCCGGTTGTTACCTCTGGAGCAGGAGGTCGCCTCTTTCAGGGTGTGCTATGGACTGAATATTTGTGACCCCTCCAAATAATATGTTGAAATCCTAACCCCCAAGGTGATGAGATTAGGAGGTGCCTGGGTCATGAGCAGAGCCATTGTGCATGGGGTTAGTGCCTTTATAAAAGGGACCCCAGAGAGCTCTCTTGCCCTCTCTTCTGCCAAGTGAGGATAAAAGAATAAGTCAGCAGTCTGCAACAAGAAGAGGGCTCTCACCAGAACCCAACTGCACTGGCAGCCTGATCTCGGACTTCCAGTCTCCTGAACTGTGAGAAATAAATTTCTGTTGTTTATAAGCCACCTGGTCTATGGTTCTTTGTTATGGAGGCCTGAGCTGACTAAGACAGGCTGGATTATGTAAGAATCAATTCTGGGGTCCAGGGAGAAGTTATATTGTGCATTTGTTAATTTAAGAATTCAGCAGAAGGGCATGTACTTTCTGAGCAATTTTGATGGAAGAATGGATAGGAAATTGTTGGATTTGTGATTAAAAAAAAAAACCTTCTGTGAGAAAGTTACAGGTGAAGGAGGAGAGGAATTTACATACCTGACTAACAGAAATGCTTCTCTAACAGGCAGAAATTAGAGAAATGGATTAAAAGATTCAAATATTGATTAGAGATAAATAAGCTTCTTTTTTCTACATAACACACAGGCACTCAAAGTCTAATAAATAAAATAACGGATACTATTTTAAAAGTTCGAGAACAGAATTTAAACTTAATCCATTCCTTCTACCACACACCAGAAAATAGTTCGGACTTTTCTACAAAAGACAGCCAAACACTGTTAGGGAAGGATAGTAATTTAGCTTGGAGCAGTGACTGACTCGGGTCCAAGTGTTAGACATTAAATCCTGCCATTTATCCACCCTTGAAGGTGGTCTAGTCAAGGAACTTTGCAAGGACTAGAAACCGTTTCCACTTGCTCGGGTGCAGGGCTTGACGGAGAGGACACAGGCTGTTTCATAGAAACAGAACACAGCTCCGTGTGCACTCACACGCTCTCCCTCCACACGAGCTTCCATCTCTGTTTCTGTCTGCAGTTCTGCTCAGTTCTCTGCTCCCCTCGGCCTACCAGCTGTCTCTGTTTTCTCATTAGCATGTGTGTAGCTGAAAATCCACCCCAGGACCCACTCCAAGCAAGCTTTCCTTTCCGGTCCCCGGACCTCACTGACTACCATCTCTGTGCCCCTTAGGGCAAACTCTTGAGAATCTAATTGGTCCAGTTCATCTACCTGTGGGTGAGCCCCCCTTGGGTCAGGTGTCTATCCGAACAGCTGTAACAAGGGAGGCAGGGGCGTGTAGGACAAGCCTGGGTCCCCGGACCTACCCTTTCAGTGAGGGCTTTTGTAGGGGGCTGGTACCCAGAGGAAGGAGCATGAGCCGGCAGGACCTTCAAAAGGAACCTGCTGTGGACTGGAAGTGACCAGTACTCCTAGGATGCCAGCCGGCAGGGGAGCAAGCCCCCTGATACTGCCACAGGGAGGAGAGGGCATCCTTGACGTGCACAGCAGGTGAGGCTGCATGAGCTTGGAACCCTGGAGGACAGACCAGCCCTGCCCCAACCACTTCCCACCCCAACACCAGTACTACCGATACTGCTATTGGGTCTAAGAAGTGATTTCTGACCAAGGCCCGGTGAGCACAATGTCTTGCTCAGCAGACGATAAATGCTTGTAAATTGAAGCACGTGATCTCAGCTCAGGTACGATGAACGCCTGCACAGATGAGAAAGCCGACAAGCCTCTCAACAGTCTTTTGAAACAAAATTCATTTCAAGTGAAATTGATGTTATTGTGGCTCTACTCTTCCAAATATAATAAGTTAGTGTTCCGAGAATTAAAAGGTCTCTTGATTTCTTTAAGTGAACTGTTACAGAATCCCAGCCCATGATAAATGCTAAAATGTAGGGTGTTTCTGAAAAAGGATATTTAGGAAATAGAATTAAAAGTGCCAGAAACAAGTTCTTTCAGGAGATATTAGGTTCTTTGATTATGCAGGTTTCAAAAATAGGGAAATTTGTGGTGTGGCAGAATTTGTCTTCATAGGTCAAGCCCACACTTTAGGGAAAGCCATTATGTAATGAAATCTAGAAATTGATTATTTTCACTCTGACCTTGGCCAG